ATGCCCTTCCCCCTGCCCCACCCGTTTCACCCGCAGCAGAAGGTGTACACGTATGTGTACACTGCATTCACCCCACTCTTTTTTTTTCAGTCTGGAAGCAACAACAGACACATTACTACGAGCCAGTTGCTTTTCTGAGCACTTTGCAGGTGTTAACTGAGTCTTCCTACAGACCCTCGGGGGTAGGCATTGTTTTTACCCCTTCCCTTCTACGGAGGAGGAAACTGAGTCACGGAGCAATGAAGTAATCGCTCCAGGTCTCACAGCCGGGAGTCAAAGCTAAGCAATCCGCTTCTATGCTACCTACTTCCTTGCCAATAAAATGATGTATGTTTTTTCTGACAGTGAAAATAGTGTCTGTCAAGTGTTTACAAAAAAATAAGAGCATGTGGGAGCACTGTTTGGTGGTGAACCTTTACCTAGTATGCAAGAGGACCTGAGTTCCACTGTAATACTGCAAAAAAAAAAAAGACTTTAAATAGCTTCATTGAAGTATAATATATAAGATATGTATTACAATATATAACAGAAAATTTACCTGTTTTAGTCATTCAACTAATTTTTAGTATATAAAATCTTGAAGCTCATATATACATATTTTTTATTTTTTTTTTTGCTGGGACTGGGGTTTGAACTCACGGTTTTGTGCTTGCAAAGCAGGCACTCTACTTGATCCACACCTCCATTCCATTTTGTTCTGGTTATTTTGGAGATGGGGAGGTCTCTCAAACTATTTGCCTGGGTTGACCTTAAACCTCGATCCTCCAGATCTCAGCCTCTCAAGTAGCTGGGATTACAGATGTGAGCCATGTGTTCCTGGCTAGACACTTTTAGAATTTTAGGCCATTCCATCACCTCACAAAACTCCTATATACCCATTTGCACTCACTCCCAGTTCCTACCCCTAACCTTAGTAATTATTAATCTATTTTCTATCTATATCGACTTGCCTCTTCTGGACATTTCATATAAGTAGGTGGTCTTTTGAATCTGGCTTCTTTTAGCATGTTTTCAATTTTCATCTGTGCTGTAGCATGTATCACTACTTCATTCCTTTTGACGGCCGAATAATATTTCATACATAGGTATACCACATTTTTGTTTATTTACCCACTGATGGGTATTATTTCAAATAAATACAATACTGCTATGAATTTTCATTTTTCTGGGGCATAAACACACGGGAGTAGAATTGTTGAGTCATATGCTAGATATTCAAAATGGCTATATAATTTTACATTTCCCATCAGAAATATAGAGTTCTGATTTTTCCACACCCTAGCCAACACTGGCCATTGTCTATCATTTTGGTTATAGCTATGCTAGTGAATGTGAAGTGATGCCTCATTGTGATTTTGATTTGCATTTCTAGTAATTAATGGTATCAAATACCTTTTCATGTGCTGACTGGATGTTCACGTATTTTCCATGATCAAATGTCTGTTCAACTCTTGTGTCCATTTTCCAGTTGGACTATTTTTTTGGTTTTGTTTTGGTTTTTTGTTTGTTGTGCTAACCAGGTGTTCCACCACTGAGCTTCATCTCCAGTCCCTACTTTAAATTATCGAATCAGAATCATTCTTTGTACATTTTAGATATGAGACCCTTATCAGATATATAATAGCTAAATATTTTCTCAAAGTGTGTGACTTATCTTTTCACTCTTTTTCATTGTTGGGCAGTACTGGGCTTTGAACTCGGACCCTCACACTTGCTAGGCAAGTGCTCTACCACTTGAGCCCTCTTTTCACTTTCTTAAGTTGTCTTTTACAGCACAACCTTTTTTCTTTTTTTGGTGGTACTAGGATTTGAACTCAGGCTTCTCCATTGCCAGGCAGGTGCTCTATAGCTTGAACAATGCCTCCAGCCCTTTTGCTCTGGTTATTTTGGAGATAGGGTCTGGCTTTTTGCCCAGGCTGGCTTAGACTGCAATCCTCCTATTTTATCTCCAGGAGCTGGGATGATAGGGGAATGCCACCATGCCCAGCTTTTTTTCCATGGAGATGGGTTCTTGCAAACTTTTTTTTGCCAAGGCTGGCCAAGAACCACAATCCTCCAGATCTCAGCATCCAAAGGAGCTAGAATTCCAGGTGTGAGCCACCACACTCAGCTACAAACATTGAATTTTGATGAAGTCCAATTTGCCAACTTTTCCTGTTTTCTTTTATCATCTGTGCTTTTGGTCTCATATCTAACAAGTTTTATCTAAGACATGTTTAGCCCCTTTTAAAACATGTTTTAGAAAAGCTACCTCTCTCCCACTTATGAGTATGTGTTTCTCTGTCAATATATACACATCTACATCATTATTTTGGGGCTTTGGTTTCTGGAAAGAGGAAAAGGAAGAAAGACTACAGGACCAAGCTATTCAAAATGTCCAGTAGGTCCCTCTTCCTTTTGGGGGTCCTCCTACCTCACTCTTGGGTCATCTCCTGTGTGATCCCTCTTCTGTGGCTTGTGAATAAAAACTTCCCTTGGCTACTAACTCATCACAGCATTTTATGTTTCAGTACCTTGGTTACATAGGTTTCTACCCCCAGATTTTCTGTAGAGTTAAATCCTGTCAGCACAGATTCTAGTGTGTGATGCTTACAAGAAACATGTATTTCCCCATAATTTAAGATTTGCCGCTGCTTCTTCCTCCATCTATTTCATTTTCAAAAGCTGGACTGGTGAGGTGTGGTGGCCCAAACCTGCAATCCTCGTTCCTGGGGAGGCAGAGACTGGTAAGATCATAGTTTGAGGCCAGCTGGGCAAAAAGTTATCAAGACCTGCAAGCTGGATGTGGTGGTGCCCATCTGCCATCCTAGCCACGTGGGAAATGTAGATAGGAAGATCAACAGCCAGGACATAAATGTGTGACCCTGTTTGAAAAAATAACTAAAGCAAAAAGGCCTGGGTGTATGGCTCAAGTGGTACAGTGCCTGCCTGGTAAGCATGAAGCCCTGAGCTCAAAGCCCAGTACTACCCAAAATAGAAAAAAAAAAAAAAAAAGTGGACTGAGTTTTGGAATGGCTCAGTTTATGTATAAAAGTGTAAATATATATATTCAAAAAGTAAATAGTGGCTATAGCAATTGACATGTATGGTTTTTGGAAGGCTTTAAGATACTGGGATATTCCTGAACAGAAGTGTCTGTCCTTAAGAGGTTTCAAAATGGGTGACAATTGCATCTTGGCGCCTGTCAGGAGTAGAGCTTCCCTGGCTTCCTGGGTAACATGTTAGGTGTTATGTAAAGTTAGAAGCTTCTTCAGGAAATAATTTTCAGACAAAGAACACTAAGGGAGGAGAAAATCCACACTGAGAAGGGCTTGTGCCAGGGGCCTCAGAATTAGCTTGGGAAAAGCAATTTAGAGGGTTTCAGAGCTCAGCCCAGAGTATACCAGAAAGATGGCAGCTGGAGAGTCCTTCCAATTAGAAGCCAGGTTGGGGGGTGGCTGTGCCCCTTTGCAGAACTAACCCTCCTTGGACAATTGCCACTAAAGGTGGAGAAGGATGGAGAGGGTCAACAACCAGCCCATCCCAGCAGCTAGGAGTAAGAGGCTAGGAAATGCAGAGGTTACATGGTTCACTTGTGCTTTAAGACTTTGCTCCAGGTCACTTTTGTTTTGCACATGGAAACAATACCAGGCCCCTGTAAGAGCCCTGAGGATGTGTGCACAGAACCTACTGGAAAACTGAGAGAGGAAGAGACCAGCTGGAAGCTGGTGCAGACATTTGGACCTGAGGTGAGGACTGGCTTGAGGGAGACATGTAGGGGTGTGGGAAGAACGATCAGAAGTCCTTAGGGACTGATTTGCTGGGCAACTGCAGAGAGGAGACAGACTTGGCACGGGTGTGTGTATGAGGGGGTTCAAAGAGCAAACCTTGGGAAAGGGTGTGAGATGTCGGGGTGGGGGGGTGGGGCTGGAGGATTTTTTTTTTTTGGCCGCACGACACTTGAACTCAGGGCTCACGCTTCCTAGGCAGGCACTTGAGCCACTCCTCGACCTCTAGAGGTATATTTATATGCAGTAAAATTTATATACAGTAAAATGTAGAATGAGTTTTGAGAAATATCTGTATGAAATCCCTCCCCCAAATTCAGGGAGTTTTGTTTTGTTTTGTTTATTGAGACAGGGTCTCCTATGTAGCCCAGGCTGGCTTCAAACTCATGTCTATTTCCCAGTGCTGGGACCACAGGCGTGCACCAAATTCAGTTTTTAAACTGAGTTTCACGTGCCTGCAGGGTCTAAGGGAAGCGGATTCAAAGACAAGAAGCTTATGTGCACCTGAAGAGAGAAGAAACACGGACTGGAATATATGTACTAGAAAGTTATGCAAGCCAGGAGGTAGAAAATCCTGTGACTAGGTGCAGAAGGAAATAAATAAGGGGTGAGAAAGCCCTAACCTTTGGCATCTTGGGGAGCACTCGCGCCCCCAACACTGAGGTTCTTATTCGCCAACATAAATCTAGACACGTCTTTTCCCAGACTTTCAACTCCTAAGCGACAAAGAAACCACTTTCTGAGTTGTCTGCTGCCAAAGCCTGCCCAATCGAATTGGAGAATCACCTCACCAAGACGGGTGGGGGAAGGGAGCTAGAGGACCCCACGGGGGGGGGTGTCTTGCACCTCTTCCAAGCAGCTGCAAGGCTCCGGCTTGGCCTGGCTTGCACTTCCATGGTGCAGCGAGCTCTAGCAGCCAGGCCTCTGCACCTTGGAGAGCTCGGAGCTCTGCACGTCCGAGCCTTTGCAGCGAGCTTTTGCAGCGATCCTGCTGCAACCAGAGCCCTGAGAGCTTGCAGCTGGTGCAAGCTTGCACGCAGCGGGAGCGCCATGGCTGGAGTTGGGGGACAGTGGGCGTGGCCGCGCTCCCTCCCGCCGTCTCCCGCCTCTGCAATCCCGGGAACGTTCTGAAAAGTATCCAAAAGTTCTGCGCCGCGCGCGCCAAAAAAAAAAAAAAAAAAAAAAAAGGGCACAACCCCCCACCACTTCTGGCTTTGCGTGTCCCGACCTCGCCACTCGGGCTGCACCTCCGGTTGCGGCGCACACGTCTTGTGCGCCTCCTCCTTGCCCACCTCAGCGGTCGGCTGGTTGGGTGGCTTCTTTTGCAGCCGTCACCAGGAACGGGAGGCAGCCTTGCGCTGCTCTTTAGGGGCACCATGCCCAACGACGACGCATTTGGCAAGCCCTCCGCCCCGTCGGAGGCCCCCCACGCCCCCGGGGCACCGCCGCAGGGCAAAGCCGGAGGCTTCAGCAAAGCGGCCGGGGCACTGTTAGGGGGAGCTGGGGGCAGCGGAGGCGGCTCCGGCTCCGGCTCCGGGGCGTCGGGCCTGGGCGCCGTGAGCAAGAAGTCGCCGCGGCTGCCCAAGTGCGCTCGCTGCAGGAACCACGGCTACGCATCGCCGCTCAAGGGGCACAAGCGCTTCTGCATGTGGCGGGACTGCCAGTGCAAGAAGTGCAACCTGATCGCCGAGAGGCAGCGCGTGATGGCCGCGCAGGTGAGTGGGGGCGGCTGGGACCCGGGGTTCGACTGAGTTTTACAAACAAAACCTCTCAAGCGTGGCCGGTGCCACACGGGGTCCGGGGATCGGGAAGGACGCGGCGGTGTCCGCAGACTGTCGCGGCGGCGTCGGGCGGGAATTCCCCGCCACGTGGCGACGCGCTCAGGAAGGGTCGGGGACACGTCTCGGATCCCGCTCGTCGAGTAAAGACGTGGGGTTCTCTCCTTTTGGAGTCTCTGGGACCCCGGTCACTCTTGGAGCAGAGTTGCGGAGTGCGCTTGGCTTAGGGTTTCCCACGATCTTTAACCTCGTCCTGCAGTGTAGTTGCGGGGTTCGCTCAGCGTTGGGGGTATCCCACGACCTTTAATCCCAGGTTCTTTTGACTAACGAGTCCCCCGACTACCGACCTTGCACGCCGAGCAGAGTTGCCCCTAAGATAGTCCCCAGGATTTTTGATCCTGGCTGCTAAGAAGTGTTTCGGGGTTCGCCCCTTGCGGGAGTTCCCCAGGATCTCTGACTCAGGCCAGTGAAAAGAGAGTTGCGGGGTTCGCCTTTGCGGGAGTCTCGGGGATCTCAGATGCTGCGCCCAGCGAAGTTGCGCGGTGCTCTCCGTTGCGGGGGGGGGGGTTCCCACCGCGCGGGCCTCGTTCTATCGGCTGAAAGTTGCGGGGTCCGCTTTCCCCGGGTTCCGTGGTCCGCTTTCCCCGGGTTCCGTGGTCGGGGGAAAGGGAGACCCCGGGGCGCCCTTCCCCTGGTGGCGGGATGGAAAAGTCCCCGCACAGGACGCCACGCGGCGTGGTCTTACCGGCTCTTGGCGTGTTCGCCCTCCGCGGGTCGAGGCCATTTTGAGCTGGGGAAATATTACCGTTTAAAAATTTGTGGTCCCGACCCTGGTACTCAAATGCAAATTACTATATGTTTTAATTATGCTTAAGGATGTGTTTAAAAAAATGCAGGGGAAAATGTGCGTGTTGAAATTTTTGTCGGTTTTTTTTTTCTTTTTAAAGCTCCAACAGCAGGCTAGTAATTGAACATTTTAACGGAAAAAATGTCTTTGGTATCCTAAAAGGATTTTTTTTTAGACGGCAATAATATACATTCTTTCCAGCTGAGGTGTTTCATCTTTTTAAGACAGGTTATTTAAAACGAAAAGATATCAAAGAAATGTTTGGTAACGATATGCTACTTTTGATTAGGAACGCGTTTGAAACCTTTTGAAAGTGATTTAGATGAGAAAGCTGAACGGGACTGCACCAATGCTTAAAGATGATATACTATGTGCATGGGTTTTTAAGGATGTGTCTTAAATTACATCTGTTCTAGCTTTACCTACTGCAAGGGCAGCCGATGGACGTATAGGCAGTTTCCCTTAATTTCTTTGTAGATTTTAGCTTAATCTATAGTGGTGAGAAGAATAGAACTAGGTGTAATCTCAAAATGATTGCAGTGAGGGTACCGAAAAAAGCTTAGGAACTTCTAAATTAGACTTGTAGGGAAGAAGATGGACGCAGAAGTTGACTTACAAGTAGCCTAGTTGGAGGGAATTTTCCTCAAAATGTAATAGAACATTTATTCTGGTGGGGATATTAATTTTGAATAATCTTTACCAGGAGGATGAATTTGGAGGAGGTTGTTTGCTGAGTTAAAAACAAAAGCAAATCATAGTTACTTTTAGGATGTGAAATTGAGGATTTTTTCACACCAGAAGCGTGCCATCCTTGAAAATGCACAGAACTACTTTTTAGTCGTTCTAAAGTAGTTTTGAAATTGATCTCATATATATAAAATCATTGCATTTTTAATCAATTGCCACCCCCCTTCCCGGTTTAAATAACATTTCCGGAACAAACCCGGAGGGAAGGTCTTTGTAAAAGTGTTCTGAGTTTATGGAATAGATAACCTAAGTGTTTTGGGTATGCGTGGGTGGAATTTGTGTAAATTGGGGTATAACTGTATTGTTATATGCTTTAGAGTTTTGCAGGTTTTTTTTTTTTTTAAAAACTCATTTCTGGTTAAAGTCATTGAGATTCTGTTTTTAAGGCTCTGGGTTAGTAATAGAAAATTCAAGATTGAAGCTTAATTTTAGTCTTGAGTAGATTATTTAAAGGTTATCTTTTCTGAGTTAAAGACTTTTTTGGTTATGAGTAAATGTTAACTCCAAATGAGTCAGCTAAGCTTGAACTTTAGTTTTACTAAAGCAATATTTAGATTGTAGTTGTATTTCTGACTTACCATTTGATTTTACCTTTTAGCTTCTTTTGGGGCCTCTGAGGTATAGGCACTTAACTTTCTCCTAATCACTAATAGTCAGTTTCAGCAAAAGTTACACGTAGTAAACAAAAACAATTTTATTTTCCTTGAGCCTTTTCCCCCCAACTTTTAACAATGTTATTTAAAAGAGGATAAGTTGAAGAGTTTCTAAGCTAGTCAGGTTCTTTCCTGTCTGGTTATGGTTCACCTTTAACTCCTACCCCAAATATCACACACCTGGCCTCTCCCTGTCTCCTTACGGCCAACCTCTGCCTCTTTCAGGGGGTTCAACAGCCCACTGCTTCTCAGGAGCCCCCCAAGCCCTGGGAAATTCTGCAGAGTTTCCTAAGCAGCTGTTGCCTTTCCTGTCCACCTTGTTCCAGATAGTTCTCCTCCTTCCTCCTGGCCGGATCAGGTCTTACTCATCCCATTCTTCAAGGATCTGCTGGTATCCTACCTTGACTGAGTTTTTACATTTTAAAGAAACTTAGATCTGAATTTCTTGTGTAGGATGGTGTATACCTCTCTCGTGGTGTTTCTCACACTTTGTCTTACAATCACAGACTTGCTTTGCTTCCTTTTAAATAGCGAGTCAGTGAGGAACTTGGGGTCTGATCTAATCTCACTGGTTCATGTTCCCAGTACAGGAATGAAGGGGTGGGTGACCATTCTCCTTCCTGGTCTTTCAGAGCCTTTTCTTTTTTTAGTGGTGCTGGGGTTTGAACTCAGGGCTTCCTGCTTGCTAGGCAGGCCCTCTAGAGCTTGAGCCATGCCTCTAGCCCTTTTTGCTATGGTTATTTTAGGGTCTTGCTTTTTCGCCCAGGCCAACCTGGACTGTGATCCTCCTATTTAGGCTTCCTGCAGTAACTGGAATGACAGGTGTGCACCCAGCTTTTTCCCCCCTGGTTGAGATGGCGCCTCATGGTCTTTTCTTGCCCTAGCTGGTCTGGAACAATGGTCTTCCTGATCTCAGTCTCCCAAATGGCTAGAATTATAGGTGTACACCACTGGCACCTGGCTTTTTCTTTTCTCCCTGTTCCTTTTTTGTTTTGAGACAGGCTCTCACCTTATAGCTTAGGCTGACTTCAAACTTGAGATCCTCCTGCCTTAGCTCCTGAGTGCTGTGACTACAGTTGTGCACCACCACGCCCAGCTAATCAGCTTATTCTGTTCTTGAGATTGAACTGCCTTCCTTTGTGATTCTACAGCTTTCCCTTACGTCCTGATATGTCTACACACTGAAATCTGTAGCAAGCAGTTTTGGTCCGATACCCTGACTCCAAACCATTTTCTAGCTTTGGTTGCATATTGTACGTTCCTGGGCAAGACAGATCAAAGAAATGAGAAATGAGAGCTGTTCAGATCTCATGGGGGTGGAGGGGGACAGACACACGAGTGAATGGGGGTGGGGGTGTTTTGGCAAAGCCACACAGGAGACTGTAGTGTTGGAGGGTGACTCGGTGTTCCTTGCTTTCAGGTGGCTCTGAGAAGGCAGCAGGCACAAGAGGAGGAATTGGGCATCAGCCACCCCATCCCACTGCCCAGTGCGGCCGAGCTGCTGGTCAAGAGAGAGAGCAATGGTGGCAACCAGTGCCTCATGACCGAGGGCAGTGGCTCCTCGCAGCCTCCACCGGCCAGCACTCCCACCACTGTGGCCTCAGGTAACCTTGGGGGGGCGGCGTACTGGAGTTCCTATGCCGGCTAGCACGAGGGAGGTAGAAGGACTGCAGTCACTAAAAAAGTCTGAAGACCCTTCTGAGCCACCCAGAATATCTAGAGCTTCTAGGACTTTCTTGAAGGATTCTGCCTCTGAAGGTCTGCTTTGGCGGCCTCACAAGGCCATGACCTCTAAAAGTGAAGGTTCAGCAGCCTTCCTTGCCTGCTGGTTATTAGGCAGGAGTCAGAATCACAGTGTGAAGGCAGAGTGACATTGTTCACACCTCACCTCAGTCCATGACTCTGTTTTGTGGTTCTCTTGGGTAGGGATGCGGTGGGGGGACTAAAGATCCTTGTCTCAGAATTGGAAGTCCCTTTCTCCAGCAAGGACTGAATTGCTTTGGGATAGTGTCTGAAAAGGCCAAATCCTAGATGTCAAGTCTGTATGAGTCTGGGAAGGTTCCTGTCCTGGGTGCTGAGTGCTGTTCCGGGGGTGACACATGTGTACTCATCTCACTTCATTCTAAGAGTCACTCTCTGTCAGGCAGGAGATAGTGATCCCTTTTAGCACACATGAAAACGGACGTGTAGGAAGCCAGGTGACTGGTCAAGTTGCCTGAACGAGAAAGTCTATGAACTTGTCCATCTGCCTCCAGAACCCAACCCCAGTGCTTTCTGTACTGGGCCTCCAAACTGCCCAGGACCACAGCGCTGTGAAGCTTGCTGCCCACTCTGCAAGCCCCAGTCCCAGGTGGTTATTTAAGTTTAAAGACATTTCAGTGAAGTATAATGAAAACATTCCCTTCCTCCAATGTGCTAGCCACATTTTGAGTGCTCAGTAGCCACATATAGCTGAGGGCTGCCATATTGAAAAATGCATTTCCATCTCTCAGAAACTCATTTGATGGTGCTGGCCTAAAATGCAGGGGCTGTAGGGAATCCACCAAATATCTGTTGAATCTGCCCAAAAATACCACAACTGAATACTGTAGTCCTCCTTACATGAGGGGAATAAACTTTAAGGCTCCAACAAACGCCTGAAACTCAGATTACTCCTGAACCCTATAAAAGTGTGTACAGCTGGGCTCCAGTGGCTCACACCTGTAATCCTAGCTACTCAGGAGGCAGAGACCAGGAGGATCAAGGTTCAAAGCCAGCCTGGGGAAATAGTTCAGCAAGACCCTATCTCGAAAAATGTATCACAAAAAAGGGTTGGTGGAGTAGCTCAAGGTGTAGACCCTGACTTCAAACCCCAGTACCACAAAAGTGTATATACATATATACATACATTCTATATGTATTTGAAATAGCATTTAATGTATACCCTACATATATACATGTATACCCAGTTTGAAGTATGTTTTTTCCTATTCCTGTATCTTTATCTGTGATAGTTTAATTTGTAAATGAGGTACAAGAGATTAATAATAACTAATAGTAAAATAGAATAATTATAGCATTATATGTAGCAACAGTTACCTAAAACTTACAGACTGCTTATCCCTGCAATTTTCCATTTAATATTCCTGGACTGTACTTGACCCCAGGTAAGGAAAATTGCAGAAAGAGGAACTCTGCGTTAGGGAACTGTACACATACTGAGAGTCTCAGAATGTCTTAGGGTCTGCCACAGCTCCCCGAACTACAGCCTTGCCATTTGGTACCACCTTAGCTAAGTTCTCATGAACTATTCAGTTTGCTGGGCTGAACCACTGACTAAATTTGGCTCAACTGCACTTCAGTAACTAGCTGTGCAACTTTGGATAAATCACTTAAGCTCTCTGGGTCTTTTATTTCCACTTTTCAAAAATGAGAGGGGGGCGTTCCTGGGGAGGCATCTTAAAAGATCCTATGAGTCCTGGCCGTTGTAAAGAAGGAGTAGGTTAAGTACTCAACAAGAAAGCAGGTAGCTGTGTCTGTGTGTCTGTCTCTGTATTACTGGAGCTATGGATCCTATAAGGACAAGATACAGAGGCTCCTGGACTTTGCTGAGAAACCGAGGGTAAATTGAAATGTCCTTAGTGGAAATGCAGTCTCTACACCTAGGCTACTGAACATAATAACTTAGCAACACAGGATCTTGTAACACATTGGTGATTTATCTTCGTGATCCTGTGGCTAAAAAGGGAGCTGTGACTGTCTCTGTTGCTGTGCAGGTGATCATACCTCCTATTGCTAGCTTGGGAAATGATCAGAGTTCAACATGTCATTTCTAGTAGAAGTACATCATTTTCCACCAGCTTTGTACCATCATAAAGTTGAAAAATCATGTGCTGAACTCTGGTCCTCTTCTCTCTCTCTCTTTCTCTCTCTCTCTTTTTTTTTCTTTTTTGATTGGTTGCTTGTAGTGTATACTTAGAACAGTTTGCAAACTTTGCTCTTCATAGGACAGAAGAGGTTCTGGCAGGGTATGCCAGAGTGGCCCTGGGGAGGGGGACAGAAAGGAGCCACAAAGGAGCCACAAGACTGGATTCAGGCTCCAGGAGGGTGTAACCAGATCCCCGTCTGCCTCTGGAGCCATACTTTAGAGTTATCCTGACTTCTGGAACCAGCACTGAAAAGGAAGGGGAATGTCACAGTGTGTGTTGTGGTTATTTGCTGAGGCACAGGTGGGGAGGCATTGCCCTGGGAGGCTCACTGTGCCTTCCACAGGAAGATGGGCTGTCCACTGGCTGACTTAGCCCTGGGGGCCAGGAGCACAGGTGGTTGTCCATCCCAGACTTCTAGACTGAATGAGGTTGTGAACAAGAGGGAACTGGGAGATGCCAATAGAATTAAACTACAAAATACAGAGACAGAAAAAGAAAGAGGGAGGGGGAAAGAGAGAGAGTGAAAATCAGAGCTAGAAGAGAGTCCTGAAGCTTTTAGGGAGCAAAGAGAGGCCAACACTTTAGATAGCTCGCTAGTAACAAATACATAGCTTCTATTCATATTTCAGAGATTTATCTAAAGTAACATTTAACTTGTACAGGTAAATGGTAAACATTTATAACAAGCATAAATGCATTCAATGAAAGATTATTGTTCTAATGCTAGCGTGTAGTTCTCTGATGTACTGCGTGTGAGGACTGTGTGTCTGTTTATCCTTTTCATACATATACAGACATACCTGCACTATTCACATATTTAATATAATGGGGTATAACGGTCCCACTTGTTGCAAATAGTGTTTTTTAATTTAACACAGCTTGAAATTTTTTACTAGCCTAGAATTCCATTGTACAGGTGTAGAAGGACAGGATTTAAAACAACTCAGTGAAAGTCAGGAATCACAGGCACTGTCATGGGCAGTAAATCCGCTAATGTGTCTTACCTGGAGACACCGCTAGCCTTCTGCTTCCTGGTACCTGTTGCCTAGTGTCTCTAGTGTGTTCCAGGCCAGTGGCTTGGTGAAATTTAGTAGATTTTTATGTCCTTGAAGTCCAGAAGTGACAGAAATGTGTAAAAATTATTGCTGAGGTTATTGGCTAAATTCTAGGGACACTTCGAAGGAAATTGGATTTACCAAGCTGTGTTTCATTTGTTGGAGAACCAAGGCCTCTGAGTAGGATAACTCACATTAGAAGACAGTCTGCAATCCTTAGTCAGATACTGGCTCAGATTGACTAAGGATTGACTAAATATGGGTAATGGGTTGTTATTTTCTTCTGAGTGTGGGTGTTAGTGTGAAAAAAAAAAAGCAATTGTCTGCTCATTGCTGGCTCCCATACCAGCAAGAACCCCATGTTAGCAGGTACACTATTGATTAGCAAATAGTTTCTTCCCAGCCATTTTTGGGGCACATAAGAAAGGTGGGTATTTTTGGGTTATACAGGACAATGACTTAACAATTTCAGCATTTCTTCTCTGGCTTCATCTTTTGAATTTTAGCATAAAATGTAATTTTTTTTAGTTCAAAGGTTACCAGCTAACTTTTTTTTTTTAATTTCAGGCATTCTTCCTCTGTGAATTTGGGCTCCTCTTTTATATTCTAGCTCTCTTTTAGCCTCTTCTGTGTGCTAGAATGCTGTTCACTGAGGTCTTCATAGTTCTTTGCCTCTCCTTTTCTGCACAGAAACTGCCAGATGAAGGGCTGCATTGTAGACCATTCGTTTCTGCGTGCATGTCCTTTGTGAGGACCTGAATGTTATCACTCGTGGTCCCTCCCTTCTGGAGCACCCTGGACTTCCATACACACGCACATCCACCCTCCCCTGGATCAAGCCACCTCCCACCGTCTATGGCTTTCCCTGGCACTCCTGCCTCCCCTGGGGCCCAATGGCAGCCTTTCCCTTCTGCTAGAAGGGTCACTCAGGTCTTTGCCTAATAGTGGAGAGACCCCCTCCTTCACTCGTCTCTAGTAATTCACTTTGAGAGGACACACCAGTGGGGAGCACATTCGTTGTGTGTCTTACATGTTTAAATATATTACAGACATGAACTGTGGCAGTTTGAAAATGCAGCAGTGTACCTGTGCAGTTTTACCAGTGAGAGAAGGTTGATGAATTAACAACTGACAATACCGAATTACATTTTTAGAAAAAGAAAAAAAAAAAGACTTCAGGTTTACAACAAAATTGAGAGGAAGGTAGAGATTTCCCTTATAACCCTGGCCCCACACAGATAGAGCTTCCCCCACTGTCAGCTAAATTGTCCACTACAGTAGTACATTTGCTATTGTTGGTGAACTTGAATTATCACACAGAGTTCTTGGTGTAACTCAGGTTCATTGCTGGTGTTGTACAAATGTATAATGAGATGTGCCCATCATCACAGTATTGTATAGACTACTTCCACTGTCCTAACCTCCTTGTGGGGTTATTAAATTTAAAATGAAAGTTCAGTTTTTATCTGTGCAGTTTTCCAACACTGGGAGGAAGGAAGCATTTTATTCAAGTGAATAATAAAAAGCATTTTAGACAAATTGGATTAGAAATTTATTTTCAAAGGATTCTTGCCACGTAAGAGAGATGGGTTCTATTTGATTTGAGACAGCTCTCAAGCAGGTAAAGCCTAGGGTTTTTTT